CAATTGACGTCACTTGGCGGAGACCGATTCATACTTGACACTGAGAAACCCTGGTGGCTCTATCTAAGATGCCTGAATGAAAACAGTGAAACATTCACATTACTACACATAGCATCTTGATTCATATGTCGCAGCTAAAATACACAACGGTTAAAATAAGAAATATATTGGAACAGTTATTTCCCTACGACTTTAACCAACAGCAAAAAGCAGGAAAACTTTTTAAAAGGATCTTGTTAAAAGGCTTAGATAAAAATCTTTTTTCCTCCAAAATGTAAAATCTGGATTTTTTCCCGGTTATTTTCGACGCCTTGAGAATGATAATATTAAAGCAGAACTAGAGGGACAGAGGGAATGATAATATTCACTAACTGTTAACAGCTGTTGTTGCCATGTCAACAGTTCAGCTCATTTATTCATTTCTTCTCAGGAACCATAAAAAGTTTTTAAACTTGATAAAAATCTGATTTTTCAGACACACCTGTAACCTTCAGCCCGTTCAACAATAATCTGATTAATTATCTAATTAATAATCATCTAAATTGAGCTCAGTGAAGATAGCAGAGCCCATTTTCCCGGCTTTTCCGCCCTTTTTTTCGGTGTTACCTGGTGTGACAACGCGGTTCTCCTGTCGGCTGCTTCTCCATGTCAGACATCTGAGCTTCAGCTTATGGAGGTGATAAAGAAGGAGATAACAGACAGGGCTGACGTTTGCTGCTATGCTTGTTGCCAGGGAGACCACCAAAGCAAAAACAGTAACAGCACCAGTAACCGCTCCTGCCCCCTGGCGGTGTGGATGAGTATCTGCAGCTTCTTTCTTCATCTTCTTTTTAAGGTTTAAAGCCGGTTGGCAAACAACTCAAACGTTCTTTACTCCCAGCTACCGGTATAGATTTTAGAACAAAATGACACTTTTCTAGTTACTGTAATATATTTACCCACTATTGTATACCAGTGGCGGCTGGCCAATAGAGGGCGCCATGGCGCAGCCCCACACCCAATTAACCCGATTAAGATGTTTAAAAAATATATATATATTTTTTTTTATATGATTTAATTTTAAATTAAAAGGTAAAATATTTCTAAAAGATCAATATATATTTTTCAGATGTGCAATATAAATGTTTAATCTTTAATGACGAGTAAAGCGTCAATCTATTTTTCATCGGATTGGTGATGTTTTTTCCGCCCTAGGGCGCAAAAATCTTTGCCCATTGACTCTCGTTAACAGTTGTCCATGTGCAGTAGCTCCTCTGCAATACAAAGGTAGAGGAGAGCTGCGCCCCAAGCTGACAGGAAGTGTACTTGGCGCAGACGTTTTGCGGTTGATTGACAGGCGAGTCGCAGGGCTTGGAGATGCATTGGAGAGAGACATAGAAATGATGCAAGAAACATCCTTTTCCAGGACCTGCTTTAGCAAGAAGGCTTGGCTATCAGCATGTAGCTTTATCCTGCCTTGCCTGCCCCCTTTTTTCAAACGTCAGCATCTGACCCAGCATGGATAAAGACAGGTAGGACTGATTTAAAGCACTTTTTATAAAAGGCAAAGAAGAATTAACAATCTGGGGTTCACATTTTTTTTTACTTTGTATAGTTGCTCATAAACAAACAAATTGTCAGAAAATAAATAGTATTTTTATATTTAAAAAAATATAAAGCTGACTGATAGATTCTCCATTATCAAACTGGTACATTTCTTTTTTTAGGTTTGTAATACAATATTGGACCATTCAAAACACAGATTTTCCTTCACAAAGCCTCAGAAGGGCAATATTTATGTACAAAAAGTAAAGCTGTTTTTATAAAAAAAAATGTTGTTGTTAGCATTCATATAAATATACTGGTGTGATAACTTAGTATATGTTTGATTGGTTTGTGGTATACATCTATTTTGAATTTAATTTTTATTCTGTCTTTATCTGATATTATAAACATTATAAATAAATACTATTTATATAGATTATATTGTTTAAATAAACATTATCTTAAACTTTAAATTTTTTTTCTAATCTAAAAAATAAACCACATCCTCCTACTATCCCTTTTATCCATCAATTGTATTTTCTTTTCCTACCTATACATATATTCATTAAATCGTGTTGCCTTTACAATTAAACACATTAAATAAATTAATTTGTATTAGGAACACCTGGAATAATAACAAGATGCTCCTGTTTGTCCATACATCAGCAACCTTGTAACCATGTTTTCCTTGAGTTCCAAAAACTTGTCAGCTCCTCTAATGATTCAGAGTTTCTCTGTTTGGCTTGATCGGTGCAGCTGATGACATACACTATGAAGGAAATTAGTTTATCTACTGTCAGAGGGAAGTTATCTTCCTTTCTACTTTGTTTTGCTTTTGTACCTGATTCTAAGCTTTATTTATTTCTCCTGTCCTTTGTAATTGAATTATTTTCACTGCCTCTGTGTAGGGCTGCTCAGCATCTCAGTGTATAGCACTGCTGCGTTGCAGCAAAAAGGTTCCAGGTTCAAATCCAAGCCTAGGATCTTTCTGCATACATGTGCATACATGGGTTCTCTCCAGGTACTCCGGCTTCCTCTCACAGTCCAAAAACATGACTTTTAGGTTAATTGGCTTCTCTAAATTCTCCTTAGGTGTGAATGGTTGTCCAGGGTGCACCCCACCTCTTGACTGTAGACAGCTGGAGATAGGCACCAGCATCCATTACAACCCCAGAAGGGATAGAGCGTGATGGAAAATGGATGCTTCTGCATGCCTTATATTTTTTGTCATTTTAGCATGTTGTATCTGCACTACTTTCCTTCCCACCTCACACCCTCCATAGGTAATCCTGTGCAGGCCTCCACAGTTGGAGCATCTTTATTCAGCTTCTTCCCTGTACTCCTTGATTCTGAGTCCTTCTCCACATTTTCCAAACACCTTTGCTTTCCCCGACAACCTGCTGCCACGTGTCTGTAGCATTGACACCTGAAGTACCTGAGGTGAGGTAGAATGTATGACTGGGAAATTAACAAAACTTATGTTAACTTTTTCTGGTAAAACTGACTCTTTTCCCTTGTATGTTTTTATACAGTCTGTGTATTTTCTTAACCTTGCCTCAAAATTTTTTTACAGTTTTTCTTGATTGTTTAAACACATTTTCTGAAAGAATGCCTCATATTCTCAGTACTTTACACACAAATAAATAAAAAAAATACACACAATGGCCAAAACAACTCAATTCTTCTGCAAAATTAAACTTTAAATTCAAAACAATGTTAATTTTTTTTCTCAAAATGGTATTTTGTTTTCAAATTACACACACAAACCATCATATAAATAGACATTCATAACGACCAGTTGAACACCGATGTGCTAAATGTAAAACACTATGATGAATGGAAAACACTTCTCCATTCTTTATAATGACTTAGGCCTTGTTTGTTCAGTGTTACTCTTACACTACAGACAGTACATACATAAGTGTGCTGTAAAATATTTGAGAATATTGTTTTTATACCCAGAACTCCCAACCAACACAAAGTTGCATATACACTACATACAGAACAGAAGAATTTACTGTACACAGAGTAAAAAAAAAAAAAAACTAAAAAGACTTATATGCTGCTCTCTTCTGTTGTGGCCTAGCCACAGCATGTCATCTACATCACATGCAATGTTTTCCAGGCCAAGCAGTGGTGGAAATAATTGTCTAGCAATTGTCTAGCTGCTTTATCTCCACATCTGTCCTCCATAGCAGAGGTATGTGCATTTGTGGATTTCAGTCATACACTTTCCATCTCCAGGCAGAACAAAAGTCAGAAATGTGAGATTAAAGCCTGAATTCTTAAAGCCAGAATTGCCAGGTCTGACTATCGGGACATACTGCTCGACCACATTGACCAAAACAGTGCCAGTTTGTCTTTATTATGCGGGAGTGCCATGACCTGTAATGCTAAAGACCCAGCAATTCAACCAGTTTCCCGCCGGTACGCTTACTATGTAATGCAATGCAAACGTGCACAGCGCCCCCTACCGAATTCCATGGCCTTTTTCATAGGTGTCAGAAATAGCTTCATCTTTAAACCTGTGAATTGTGATCCATTTATACGCAGCAGATCTTAGCTCTGATTTTTTAGAGGCCAGGTGGTCGTTTTTCCAGAGATGAGGGCAGAAGACTCCAGAAGTTGTTGGCTCTTGTTGTTAGGCAGAATTCTACTGAAAGGTCTCTGGACATGAACATTGTTCTCTTATATCATCGAATAAAATTAAAACATCTGAAACAAAAGTCAGAATCAAACCAAACAGAATCAGTTACATAATTGATGTGACATCTTACAGACACTGCCAGGTGGAACTGATCCAGTAACATGGTAGATATGCTCTCCTGAAGCATTCCAGTGTCTCAGCACCAGTCAGATCTCCCACTGGGACAGCTGATGTCACTGGTCCAAATTTAGCCTCTGGCTGGTAATGAACCTGGCAGAGACATATTTGTGTGGAGGGGTTAAAAATATACAGTTATTTTTGGTTCTGCAAGAGCACTTCTCATGCAGATGTGCAGCCATTTTGTTTTAAGAGAGCCTGCTTCAAAAGAAGGAAGAATATGCAGCAAAAGGTGCAAAGAGGATGGAGAAGTCCACCAGAATGTCATATAAATTTGAACAGACCCTTTTGAGACAACGCTACAGCAAAGAAACTCATAATAACGCTTCTATATGGAGCTAAAGTTAAGCCACAGTCTGTTAAAAAAAACATTTTTGTAAATAAATAACCATCCTTCCATCCATCTTCACCCACTTTCCATCAGGGTTGCTGTGGGGCGAGTGCCTATCTCCAGCAGTCTATAGCTGGGTACAGCCTGTTAGGTCGCCAGTCTGTCGCAGGGCAACACAGAGACACAGACTGACACCTAAGAGTGAGTGAACCTAACAGTCCTTTTTTGGACTTTGAAAGGAAGCCAGAGTACCTGGAGAGAACCATTAAACTCCATGGAGAAAGACCCTGGGCCGGGAATCGAACCCAAAACCTTGTTGAACAGAGCTACCCATTGCAACATGACACACATCTTATTGAGAAGCTATATTAACACATTTATGCAGCTTTTTCAGTCCTTGGTGGTGATTTTTCATCCTCAGCTAAATTTTTTCAACATTCAGCTATATGATTAGCCTGACGTAGTCCTACTCAATTCTAGTCAGAATATGAGTCTGATACTGCTCCATAGAGCTGTGATTATGGGGCGTGTTTCGAACGAACCAGGAAAAAAAATGCCTCTGCACTCAATTGGATAGACCTACAACCAATAAGAGCAACGGAGTGCGTGACGAATGTTAAGCCAGGCACAGTTGTTGTGAACAAAAATCAAAGCGTGCAGTTGCACGTCTAGAATAAGAAGATGAGCCTTGATCGCGTTTCTCTGTTCCTCTTTTAAAATTAATTTGCTGTCGATATCTTCTAGAACAGACCTAATAGCAGAATCTACACACCTCAACTCTCCAGCGGCAGCCATTGGTGTTGTCACCCAAGCGCGCTTTGGTGACGTGGTTGATTACGTTACTGTTGATCATCTGTCCATCATCGTATAAAGCCCGCCCTGACAATTTAATTGGCCCGACCAGATATTGGGTGAGCATACTCGCGCTACTATTGAGCAATGCCAGACCGAACTTCCCGACCTCAAACGTTGTGGGCAGGACTAAGTTCGGAATGGCACCCAGGCTAGTGTATGATGGCAATGGGGGAAGAAACTGTTTTGGACTCTGCTGGACCTGCATCAAATGCTTCGAAGCATCTTCCCAGAGAGCAGTCCATGGTGGGGGTGTGAGGCATCACTGATGATGTTACGGGCTTGGGACACACAGCGCTGGGATGAAATGTCTTTTCATTCCTATTCCTGAAATAAGTGCCTTTTCCCTTATTTTGAGCAGGTAAATGAGACAATTTTCAAATGTCTTGAGATGGTTTGATTTTAAAATAATAAAAAACAACTCCAATCTTTATTTCAAGACCATAATATCTAATTATGTTATTTTAGGGGGAAGAAAGCTGTATTTTATTTGCAGATCATCTTACCTACCTGCTCTGATTAGGATGAAATACTCGTATTCTAAGACATTTTTACTTCATTTCAGATCTGTATTTAAGTCAGTTAGGACTGGAAGGAGCAAAAATGAACTCATAGTTAAACAAACTGATCCATCTCTAAAGAGAATAAAACACTGATCCACCAAACAAAACATGTTACAGATGGATAAAAGTATTCTCATGTTGAGCAACTGAGCGAGGTTGTCTTATACTCTTTCCTGTGTAATTTTATCAAAGCATCCAGGTCTATGGAGGCTCCATCATGGACTCCATTGTCAGACATGTCAGCCCTTCACTAATAACCCATGCCAGTATAGCATGGTGGGTGATTTACCCCCACATGACTGGACCAGAGGATCATTAATCATCTTTCCATATTTTGGACATGCTTATAGTGTTCTGGCATAATAAAAACAAAGGCAACAAGTGTTGAAATTTCTGCATTTGAATCTTTCTCTTCTAAAAATGTTTGCAGTTAAAGCAGAACTCCTCACTCTACCCTGTTACCATACAGGAGCCGGAACAGCTGGAGAGGCGTGAAGGCGAAGTGTAAACGACTGTGTCGTCTCAGTACTATGACTGTTAACCGTTGGATTCTCATGTTCTGTGGGGGAATTTCAGGCCCTCAGATCTTGAAGCGACGTGTCTTTCTGCATACTTGTTTCTCAGGAGAGGTTTTAAAGTAGAAGGCATCCCCCTTTAAACATCCCACCCTCCCAGCAGGTGATGGGTAAATCTGGAGGGACGTCCAGAATGAAAAAGATCTCTGCTGATCACTGAACCCCAGCAGGGGCGTGTTGATCACTCAGCCGGACGGATTTAGTAGCTGCTGTAGAATCTGTGTCCCATACAGGCGCTGCAGACACTGAAGCGTTAGTCTCCTTCACCTTCAGGCAGTTTCTGGAGATCACAGCTGGGGGGGAAAACATGGAGATTACACTCGAAGATGAAAACAACAACACCTCAGCCAACTTTGAGTTCAAAGGGGCTCACCAGGCGTTCAGGGACCGCTGGAAGGAGACCGATGACACCATGTGTCGCCACAGCATGTCCTTCCACCTGCACCACAAGCTGCAGAGCGACTTCTTCGCCAGCTACCTGTACCTGCTGGAGAAGATTCCTCTGGGTAAGAGGCGCCTATTTAACATCCACCCAATGTCTGATGAATCCTGCATGTTTTTTTGAGTGATAGAATGTCCTCTGACTTCATTTCTTTGAAATTATTTGGTGGAATAAAGTTTAAGACATTTAGAGATCTATAAAACTCCTGAATCTAAGCTTTGTGATCCATGCTGAGAAATTTAACAGTACTCTGAAGCAAGGGTGTAACTTTGCGATAAAAGTTGGTGGGGACGCATTAAAGGTGGTAGCTGATGGACCTACAGCTACTTAACCTGAACGCTTTCAATAAGGTTTATATTTTCCAAAAATGCGCTCAAACATATATTTATTGAATGCTTTGCTATTGTTGAGAACACAGGAGAACCTCAATACATTTGCGGTATTTATAATTATAGACAGATGCTTGCCTTTAGTGCATTATTTTATAAAGGGCTCAAAAACAATAATGTATAAAAAATGATAAATAACAGCCAATACTGATGCCAACATAAATATATCCTGCATCCCTGGACACAACTTCACTTCCATCAATCCATCCGTGCCTGGCTTTCCTTTAAGCTGCATCAGTGATTATCCTCCTTCACAAGCAGCAAAATCAAATTTAGAAATATGCCCCATTTGTTATTGACAGCCAAAGTCTATATATTTAACCTTATATTTCAAAAATACAATACACTGTATTATTTGTGCTTTAATTCTTTTAGGTTTCTTATATTCTAATTTTAAGTCTGTTTCCTGTGAGTCCGGCTGTCTCTGGGTTGGCTGGCGCAGCTATTTCTGAGTCTTGTTGAACTACAAAAGACAAAAAGATATGTTGAATTTTAATATAGCATTGCATATTTCTTCTTGTAAACTTGGAGATATATTTTATTGCATGTTGCATATCCCAGTAAATCTGTTTCACCTTTAAATCTAAAGCTGCGTGTAATTGTGTCTCTACTCTGCTTAAAAACAGATTTATGAACCTGTCTACCAATATAATGATGGCTGAGACAATAATTTACAAAATATGTGGAATCTCTGCAGTCTGATTCTCTGTTCGATAAGAAAAAAACAGATATGTGTTCATTTTAATCTATAACTCTGAGTAATGGTCTTTTGAGAAACCCAGCTTTTTTAACTAATAAAAAGGAACGCTGTTGACATTTTTAGCAGAAAAAGCTCCATATGTGTAATGAACAGATTTTTTTTGGTGGAATGATCTCTAATTTTTTTTAACCAACCAGTCTCCTTACTTTTACTGAAACATATATCGAAGTAGCTGCCAGTTAAAATTCAGTCCTGCTGCGTTTCTCCTCCTCCTCATAGCTACTCTATACGCAGTGAATAGCGACCCCAAATAATATTATGTCCGAAAACAACCGTTCTGATGATAATTTAAGTGGTGGGACTCGAGAGCAGCGGGAAAGCCAGTAGAAAACACTGAAAACACTCTGAACACAGTTAGCTGCACCTAACCCCAGTTACTGTTGGCTAAAGTAAATCAGCTGAAAGGAGGAAAAAAAAGCCGAAATTATTGGTGGGGACTGTCCCGTCCATGTCAAAGTTTGTGGGGACATGTCCACATCAGTCCTTCAGAAAGTTGCTCTGAAGTATTATTCTCTGTCTAGGTTATCTATGCTTTTTAGTTATTTTATAGAAAGGAATAATCATTCCCCCATTAAAAGCATTCCAGGTTCATCCTAAAACAATCTTCAGAAAATTAAGATTCCAAAACCATAAGGGGGTAATCTCTCATCAAAAACGGTTCACCTGCTTTTCTGATCATCTTAGATCTGTAAATATGTTCAAGTGCTTTAGAAACATGATGGTAAACATCTCACTTAGAGAATTGTAGACATTAGACCCCTGACTGTGGAAGGTGTTCATACGGTGGAGTATCAGCAATTAACTTTTTCCACAGGAGAATGATTCGTGATCATATCAAGCTGGATTGAGTCAGGGAGTTGACAGCCAGGCAATACTAGTTATCAAATCCCAGCTCCCATTGTGTTGGATTGGTTTAACTGGATAGGCTGGCAGCAATCCTGCCAGTTTGGGCTCGCTTCGTTGTACAGGCCTTAGATTTATTGTAGCCCAATGATCTGAGAATATTTAGCTTTACCCTGTGGGTTCTGAGGTTCTGACCATCTGATTAGGGGTTTGACCCACATCATCAGGCTGCAGTCTGACCTCCTCCCAGGTGATGGACCTCCACATTGTCTAAACACCTTACTGAGTCAGCTCATAACAGCTGCTTGTATTCAGGAAGTTTTTCACCTCACAGAGAGGATTGGAACCATGATGGACCCGGTAACCAAGAACCTCTGTATCCAGAGCCTTCCCCTTAGATAAGCATTTATCATTTGTCTGTTTGTGTCCTTTTGGTTGCTCCCTTATTCAGGGGTTACCACAACACAAATCATTAGAAATTGGCTTTAAGGTGGATTTCCTTCATGCTGCATCTGGGAATAAAAGGTGGTTTCCTCACAGAGCAGTCAGGGACTTAACATCATCCAAAAAGAGCAAAGATGAAACCCAGAGGTTCCTAAGTCGGACAGTCCATATAGACCACAGCCAGGCTAAGAGACATATAGGGCTGCTCTTGTTGGGTCCAACCCAATCTGGAAATGGCCTATTTCAAGAAGAAAAGCACTGGATCACCCAGAGAAGTAACCCCAGCAACCTCTATTCATGCAGGAATCCCTTTGAAATGCCTCAGCAGCAAGGTGATAGACAAGAGGACTGGACAGGTCCATCACCGTTCTCCAAGTTTGGGGGGGTGAACATCTGGTCCTCTGTTTCCAGGCAAAAGCAAATAGCTCCCCTTAAATTAGAGGTTCCCCAGTTAGTTTGGGCCATCCTCCTTGGTTAGATCCACTCTCCTGATGGCTGGTCCCCTATGGTTGCCTTAAAGCACTAAATCTGTAATTGATCATCAGCTCTGGAGTAAACTGTCAACTACAAATAAATTATGCAGACCTGATACAGCACCCTGAAGAACAGAGAGAAAGCCACAAATCTTTCAAACTCAGCAGGTTTCCAGCTGACTACAGGACAGCTTGGGTCAAGGTCTTCTTTGGTACAGAATGCATTTGTCAATCAACCAACCACGAACTGCAGAAACAGGAGATTCCAACCTGTAGACCATCCCAGCACAAAGACAGCTCAGTCCCTGCCTACGGTCCTGGTGTGAAGCCCATTAATGGCCTGGCATGATAAGCATGAAGGCAGTACCTCATGTCAGTCTGAGCTAAACATGACGATGCCTTGGTCGGATTATTTACAGCTAAAGGAAACAATTTTATTTTCATTTGTCTATGATAAGGAAAATACCCCTAAATAAATCAACTTAAATAGCTTTAAACTGTTCACAGTGAAACCTTCCGTCATTGATAAGACTCCTTATTCTGTTACATAAAGATGGAAGGTCAGCATCTAACGAGCTGCTCTGCTCTTAAAGTGGCAACAGATGGACAAGGTGGTTCTGGAGTGACACTTCCCTGGCAGAGGGGTGTGTTGTCACACTGTCGTCTCCTCGTCTTTGTCCTGCTCGAACTTTCTAAACTTACCCTCCCTCTTAGGTGTCACATGACCAGTGACTATTAGGTTACAGGCGCTCCGAACAGACATATGTTTTATGAGCCGTGGGCCTTTCAGTTGAAAGTCAGTGATCTATAACTGATGTTATTAATTTAGAACCAGACTGAAGCATTATCTGGTTAAAGACTAACACAGTGCTAATAACGGAAAAAAACAGAAGGAACACCTAAAGTTGACCAAGGGTCAACTTTGACCAAGGGTCAACTTTGGTGATAGTCACTGAATCCTCACTTGGCTTCAAGGATGACTCCACCTATAACATCCACAAAGTCTTCAACCATCATGCCGGCTGTGCTTCTGGCACATAGAGAAACTGTTTTCTCCTACAGGTAAAGTTCTTGGTTTTCTCCCATTGAGGACCTTGGTGTGTTAGGGTGAGAAAGGAGCTGACCTTAAAATACAGAGCTCTGGATTTTCCTATCCCTCTATATGTGTTAAGCTCCCAAGAAGAGAGAATTGCTAAGTAGCTCCATAAAGGTATAGTAGAGGATTTTTGCGAATTTTTGAAAAGACCCACCTTATCTACTTAAAAAAAAAGATACACATGCACAACCCTGTACCCCTTCTGAGAGGAAACGCATATTAATCATGAGCCAGAGCATGCTCTGTTTAAGAGTTGCTCTTTGCATCACTGATACAAGCCTAATTTCCAAAAGAAGATTTGCAATTTTTCCACTATGTCAGACTCACCACCGGTAAGTGAAAATGGAGATGAGCACGTAAGACGGCCTTTCCTAAACACATCACCGGAATGATTTCCAATTAGGACTACCACTTATTTTGATGATTTACCTGGAAAAAGACAATCCTCCACTATATTTTTAGGTGCTTGTGTAATGCCTTGGATAACAAGGTGAGGGTAAGGAGCTATGTAGCCTGGAGGTGCTTCTCCACTACATCTACAGGAATCCTACTAGTTGGTTCATCAAATAAGGATATCTGCTTAACCCTTTGACAGAGATTTTCTGGCAAATTACTGTTTGAAGAGACCTCAGGGAATATCAAGAACTCTCTGATAAATCTGTTCGCTTACCTTTGAGTATTCAAAGACTTGAAAACTTTTGCTGGGAGTGAAATTTATTTATTACCTTTACAACCAGACCTTAGATAAAAGAAGTTTAACTTTATTGATCTCACAATGAAAACAATGTACCTCTGCACTGAACCCATCCCCTTGGGAGCAGTGAGCTGCATTGTGGGTGAAAGGTCTTGCTCAGAGAGTGGCAGTCTGTGGGTTTTGAACTCACAACACTGGGATTCCAAGCTCTATGCCCTAACCACTATACCGCCACTCCTCCACCATATGTATGGTCATCTTTGTCTCCTCTCGTATATTTCCTTTATTATGTCAATTAAAATGTCAACCATTTTTATTGCGTCGTAATCACAACTCAGGGATTTTCCCTTTGAGCAAGTTCTGTATCTGACTTAAAGAGCTAAAAAAAAAAATGATTAGCTTAGGATGTTACAAAGTGTAAGCTTGTCCTGTTTGGATGATGTAACTGAGGAGGGGACGTTCACAGCATGACAGATGGCTGCTCTGCAACAAGAGATCTCTATTTCAAAGGAAATGTTGGATGGTAATTAGATTAGCAGGAGTCTATATTCAGCTTGCCGCTTAGCTACTACAGTCCCTCCTCAGCTGTTAAATGACATAACAGAACTATTCAGAAGCAGTGGTTAGCATTTGTGGATAGTTTTAGTATAAAAGTTATTTGAAGCAGGAAAGCTTTCCCTGCTGTGGTGTTGTCATCCAAAGCCAATGTCAGCCTTTTCTGCTATTACAAATCTTAACACCTGACCTCTCAAACCGTCTCTGCCTGTCGCTGCATCTGATCTGCTGAGCTGAGATAAATCCTGCTGAATGAAAACATTTACCAGGGCTTATATAGGCTTGTCCCTCAGTTTGGGTGGGGTGGGGGCTGTTCAGATAGCTGTTCATGTGTCCAGAGGCAGAGTTCATGACATTGCAGCAAAATATCCAGGTGGAGGATTTATTTCTGTGCTAGAATCCCTCTTTAATGCTTCAAAACAAGTGATCAGCCAAGAAGTTGGCCAAAAATAGAACGCCTTCAACTCTGGATCAAGATCCTTCTTTGATCAAATTGTAGGATCAATCAGAATTTGGTTGGATCCCCTTTTTTTGCAAAAAGAGTGGGGCAGGAACCCGGTTCGGTACCAAGACCCCTGAGCTGACTTCCGTCAGTGCAGTCGAGCAGTGACTCCTCTTGATGCTCCTCATGTTGTCTGTAAGGGTCATCCAGCTCCTCATAAGCTCCTGACACTTGTATGCACACGTAAATAATACAGACCTCGCTTCCAGCTTGCATATATCCATCCAGCTATTGCCTTTACCCCCCTTTGAAGCTTGATCAACTCAGAAGTCGATCACCTTCCGGTGAATATCTGCACCAGAGCAGCATTTATCTTCTGATTCTTTAATATTTAGTCAAACTGAGATTGTTACTTCAACTATTGCACACAAAAAAAATAAAATACAAAGGCAGATTCTCAATTCACAAGGACGTGAGTATAGACTCGTGTCCTCGCCAAGTACGTTCTTGAGAAGAACACAGGGAAGTGTTGACTTGTGGAGAACGGGAGCATGTAGCATAAATATGGGTCAATTGGAAGAGAAGTATACTCATAATATCATCACATCCTCGGCTCATCTGGAGCTGCATTTCACCTCCTTTTATTAGTAGTCTCTAGATTATGATAAATCTTAGTTTTTTAATCTAACACAAATTAACACAAATCAAATGAACATTTTGCCAAACAAAACAAAAAACTCATCATCAGAGCCAGCGGTCCTTCACACACGGCTATGCCGAGAGAGGGCCGTTGCAGACAGGCTAACTTTAGACTTCGCTGCCCTTTACCCTCGAGGGTCTGCTGGTTGCCGCGGTCCTCTCAACTTCGGAAATGTTTTTCCAAATTACGCATTAAATCAGTAAACGGGCCAAATAGTGATACTTAGAAAGTATAATGTTCTTGTCTCAAACAATCTTAAAACATACTTTTATTGAACAATATGCAACAGAAAAGAGAGCTTTTAACTTTATACTCTGAGCTCTGTGAGCACTGCATTGAAATCTGCTGCTGCAGCAGTGCATGATGGGACTGCTGTCAATCTCAAGAACTGACAAGTCTGCTCTGATGCATACTCGGTAAAGAGGGGGGGGGGCGAGTACAACATCAGGGGACTTTGTCCGTTCTCTGTCTGCTGTTCTTATGAATTGGAACAGTACTAAGGCTGAGGCTGATGACGTTTCACGAGTACACAAGCACATGAGAACGCACAAGCGGGCTGCTCAGTGGCGCAGTAGGAAGCACTGCTGCCTCGCAGCAACAAGGTTCTCGGTTCAATTCCTGGCCTGGGGTCATTATGGGGAGTGGTGGTCTAGTGGTTAGGTCATAGGGCTTTGAATCCTGAGTTTGATCTCCCACAGACTGTCACTCTGGCCCAAGAACCTTAACCCCCCACTGCTCCCCAAGGGGATGGGCTAAATGCAGAGAAGTAATTTGCCTATTTATTAGAGTATAAATAAAAAAAACAATTACAGATATTGAGAAATGGACAAAGTTAGGTATACCAACTGTGTCACAACAGTTATGACCATTTGTACCAGAAACAAGTGCTGAGATTATATTTGGGATTTAGGGAATACACTTTGTGATTTGAGTGATACAAATGGATTGATGCATATTTCCACCACTGGGCATCAATGGGTCAAAATTTTGGTAGTGCAAGGTGTCCCTTTGTCCCCAAGGTGCTGCTAATCCCTCTTTAAGGAGGATTGATAACTTTCGCCTTCTGCTATGTCTCTGAACTTGCACTATGAAGCATAAAATCCAGCATTAAAACCATCCTGGTTCTCACACCAGTCCATGTGTTCCCTCAGTGAAGCTGTTTCCCGTCACCTGTGAGTTCATCAAGGGAGAGAAGCAGTTCTACTACAGAGCCCAGAAGTTCTACGAAGACGTTCCTGCCTCTGAGGAGGGCATGATGGGAGATTTTCTTGAGATTTCCAACGTTGATCTGGAGAGTTCCCGTCAGTTTCTGAAGAGGTTTGTGGTGAGTTGCTCAACACGCCACAGAAACAGTGCACTTCAAGGAATCTTTTCAGCTCAGGATCAAGCCTGCTTGTGTTTGTTTGTGCTTGAAAACATTACAATTAGCATAAATCTATGTCTAGAAATTTTTAAGCAGTAATCGGAAATGTTAAGGAAGAGACTATAGAAAATGTATAATTAGTATCTCAACCATCACAAAGCTTCTGCAGTATGAAAAAAAAATTAGTATTTTTATTAATAGACTGAAGTTACCTCTTATCTAAGAGCCTTCAGAGGAAAGTGAGCTGCTTCTCAATCAGTTTTTAACTTTGCTGTAGCCTCTGGTTTCTGCCCACTGGTGGATCAGTTTCCACTGATGTGGCCTGTTGCTATATATGTAGGGCAGAGTCTATTTTAGTAGAGAAATTCATCATCCTGTCTATTCAGAAAGCATTTCATCTCGTTTCATGTACAGTTTCATGTACAAGAAGCTGCATGACCATGGTATAATTAGTTATGTCCCATTTGGACTCCAAAGTCTATTTTTGATTTACTGATTAATGCTTCAAATCTAATCCATAATTAGATGGATAAATAACATAGCAGAGATCTGGGCATAAATTCCAGTACTTCTCAATTTGTATGGAAGTTCTGGAATTCCTGGTAAAGACGTTGAAACATTCACATTCTAGATGAAATCCTCCATCAGAGAACCAGATATATGGGTCAAAGCTAACAGTTAGCTGAGCTGGCTCTACTGTTTAATAGGAGCTTACACTACCGGAAAGCGGTGCTCTGGGTCACATGAAACATTCAGAGACAGGTTGACCTTCTGAGTTTACAGAGGAGAGTTTTAGAGGAGAGCAGCTCAGAGGGAGCATCGATACGCAGAAGATGAAGACGGAGCTGAAGGATCATTTAATGGATCTGAGATTAAGCTAAAAGTACAGTCAAAATCACACAGTGTTGCTTTAAAAGGAATGGCTGCAAACTCAAAACTTTTGAGCCAGCAGCATTTAGACTTTTCTGAAAAAGCAAAAATAATAACGATAACTTTTCTAGTTAAAGTCAGGCTCAAGACAAAAACTATAAAAAGAGTTTATTGCTCTACCGACTGAAAGCCTGTCCACAAATGTCAAGGGAAATCGTTAATATTTTAAAATAATTCATCCTGTTATGTATCATTAGGATCGATGATCACTAAATCTATTGGAGGAAACATTGATTAGAACTAAGGCGATATCTTCTTTTTTATATATATATGTATATATATATATCTTCTACAGCAGAGTGACCCAGTCTGTAGCACTTTGACTTTGGAACCTGGTGCTCTCTGTGCCTTGGTGTGTTCTTGCTGTTATCTAAATTGCTCAAAGGTTTTTGCTGTCCTTGTTTTAACCTGAAATGGACCAAGACTGTCCAGAATGTACCCTGCTAAAAAAAAAAAAGATAAAGCTAGGAACCAGCCGCCCTTAGACCTTTCAAAGTGTCCTCTAAAAGCAGTTTTCCATCTAAATAATAAAGTGGGTGAGTCTTTTAGACAGAATCACTTCTTCTAGAACACTACAGTTTCTTTAATGATCTAGAGTCTAAAGCAGTTTTTTTCTGCAGAATCTGGAGAATAAATTCCTTGATTAAGTTGACAGAAAGTCCTGCAGCCCACGTGTTTGTTGTCAGATCCACAGGCATTAAACAAATGCTCTTATAGTCTCTGGACTCTCAGACGAATGTCTGATCTGATTATAAATAATATTCCAGTGCACCAGCTGCATGCATGCCGCACATGACGGCGGTGCGTGGAGTCTTATTTTAGCTGCTGGAGACGATGTTGCTGCTAATTCTGTGAAGATGTTTGGCCCAGAGACCTGTTTCTATCCAGGACCTGTTTAACAGCTGCTCTAATTATAAACCTTACAGTGTAAACAGCAGTTTTGAGACAAACAGCTCAGGAGGGGAAGGTGCTCTGCTGCTGGTGGCCACTGCCGTCCGCTTGTTCAGAGAACCCCTGCAGAGACAACGAGAACATGCAAACACCGGGCTGAATGAGCTTAGGCCGGGATTTGAACCCGCAACCTTACCGTGCACTTACAGTTTCATGATGTTTCCATTAATACGTTTATCAGAATTCAAGCACCAGCCCCAGTCATTAAATATATATTTAGTTTGAAGCTTAATTATTATTTAACAAACTAAAAATTTAGTTTGGAGCTAAATATTTATTTACCAAAGTAAATATTTAGTTTGAAGTTAAATATTTAATTTGCAAACTAAATTTTTTGTTTGAAACTAAATAATCATTTAACAAACTAAAAATTTTGTTTGGAGCTAAATATTTATTTTAAAAACTAAATATTTAGTTTGAAGCTAAATAATTATTTAAAAGACTAAAAATTTTGTTTGCAGCTAAATATTTATTTACCAAACTAAATATTTAGTTTGGAGCTAAATATTTATTTAACAAACTAAATATTTAATTTGCAAACTAAACATTTAGTTTGGAGCTAAATATTTATTTTGCAAACTAAACATTTAGTTTGGAGCTAAATATTTATTTACCAAACTAAATATTTAGTTTGGGGCTAAATATTTAATTTGCAAACTACATTTTTAGTTTGGAGCTAAATATTTATTTAACAAACTAAATATTTAATTTGCAAACTAAACATTTAGTTTGGAGCTAAATATTTATTTACCAAACTAAATATTTAGTTTGGAGCTAAATATTTATTTAACAAACTAAATATTTAGTTTGAAGCAAAATATTTATTCAACATACTAAGTATTTAATTTGAAAACTAAATATTTAGTTTCAAACTAAATATTTATATACAAACTAAGATTTTTATAAATTACTGAATGACAGTGAAAAAAATGTATTGGAAAAAAATAAACCCCTTATTTTTCTCTTAAAAACACGCTATAATAACCATAAATATTGCTCCTAATTTTTGACTGCGTAGCTTTACAAACGGCGCCCCATACATGGAGATTAAATGGGTTAAATAATGTTAAAGCTAAAAGCCAATCTTCTCCTGTTCATGAAGTTTAACTTGAGGAACAAAAAGTTTCAGCTTTTATTTTTTCACATCATTCGTACAGGGCCCTGGTAAAGCCGGCACATACCGGGCTTTGGATTGTGGTTCTGGGATCGGGCGCGTCTCCAAAGGCGTCCTTCTTCCTGTGTTTGAGAAAGTAGAGATGGCCGACATGATGGAGCACTTCCTGCTCCATGCACACGAGGAGTATCTGGGTGATGACGCCGACCGCATCGAGACCTACTACTGCTACAACCTGCAGGAGTTCACGCCTCCCAGAAACAAGTATGACATCATCTGGATGCAGTGGGTGGCGTGTAAGTATGAGGACCAACAGGTTTAAAATGGCCTCAGATGAGGACCCAGCAGGCACGTGACATTATGTTATGTTAAAACAATATTGTACTCCAACGTTGGATTACCATGGGATTATGATGCGAAAATAAAAGTTGGATTTAAGTTAAATTGTTGGATATTGGTTACTAGCCAAAACAACTTGAAACCAACTAAATGGCGTCAGATTGATTTTCGAAACTTTATGGTGTTGCATTGATGTTGGCTTTTGGTTGTACCAGCTCCTTTCCACCAACTGAAACATCTCTACTTCTTTTCCCTCAGGCCACCTGACAGACAAAGACCTGCTGAACTTCCTGATTCGCTGCAAAAAGAGCCTCCGTCCCAACGGCGTCATCATCATAAAGGATAACATGGCCCGGCAGGGCTGCAAGCTGGACCCAATCGACAGCAGCATCAGCCGCCACCTGGACATCATGAAGGTCATCATATCCAAGGCTGGGCTGGAGATCCTGGCAGTGGAGAGGCAGCAAGGCTTCCCTGAGGTCATCATGCCCGTTTGGATGATCGCCATGAAGTAGAACAGTGCAACTCTTTCTGGAAACGGATTTTATCTACTCAACACCAAATAATGTTGGAACGGGTTTTAGGATGAATTATCCTGCTAAAGCAACATGAGGTGTAACAGGTTAGCCGTTCATTAGATGAGGAGTAGAAACAAACCATGACAACTTCAGCCACTGATTCCCAGAGAGGGCAGTCTGAAAACAGAACAGGAGGGAGTACCTCAGCCCTACAGTTTATTAAAGCTAAAATCCCCCTTTGGACAAATTCACAGCTAGGAGTAAAACGTATCAACCCCTGCTCCCAGAGATTAACCTGCACCATCAAGCACTGCTAATAGTAAAAAAAATTTCCTAAATTTAATGTATTGATCTTTAATTTGAGTAGGTAAATAAGATGATTGCCAATGAAATTAGTATTTTTACTATTAAAATTAATATACTTGAAATATGGCCTACTTGATATTTGAAATAAGACAATGTAATTGTTTTTTTTCTTTAAGTATAAATTGTCATGTTCAATTGGCAAAGTGTGTCAATTACCTTCTCAATTCAAGATTTTAAAAAAATAATTATATTTTCACAAATCTTTTGTCAGATTTCATTTTTTTTGCAGTAAATATGTTTGGATTTCAGTGAATCTCATCCAAGAACACTTAAAAATGAATCCTTAATGTGGTCCATTGCAAATGTCTTCCAACTTGGAAATTCCACTTTTCCATAACAACCTACTGTATGGATCCAACATGGCTGCTACTAGAGTAACATAATATCTCTTATATTTTGATGTTCTATATGCAAAAAGATTGTTATTGTTAATAACAACACATTGTTATTATTGTTTTGGACTGCTAACAGTAGTCAGCATTTAGATGGATTTTAGCCTTGCAAATGAAACTAATGTAAAATCCCTCTGGTATCACAGAGCTGATTTTTCAGGTGAACAAAATAATCCACAACTTCCTGTTTGGTTCCAGTATTACTTGACATTTTTTTTTTTTTTTTTACTGTTGATAGCTCTTTTTAAAACACTATTTAACAAAGTCATCCCAGTTGGTTCCTTATTATATCAATATGGCCAGAATGTTATTTAAAAGGAAACAATTTAAAAACTATTTAAAGCAGGAAAAGGATGAAATCCTGGTGTTTTTTTCATCCCCCACTCCAACTTTTTATCACTCAGGAAGACTACAACAAAGTACTTGAATTTTTTTTTCCTCAGACAGACCCAATAGGAGCCTTCTACCTTTTCCTGGTTGACATCATGACATTTAAATTAGAGCAATAGAATAGATTGAAATAGAATAGAATAGAATAGAATAGAATAGAATATGTTTCCTGTGTATTACTGTATTAATGTGTTGATGGTGTGAAGATCTTTGGGTGTCCAGTAGGAGCAAATGTACAGCATAAAAATACTATTTAACAGTTATCAAGGCCAGAAACTCAGATTAGAAGATGTGAAACTATGTAGCATGACGTTATCTGCAACGCATGCTTAGATATTTAAGGGGAAAACAACAAACTATTAACCAAAAGCACAAAGTCTGTGCAAAGACAGCAGGGATTTAAACACCTGCTGAGTTATTTTGGAGAAGTGGTTTCTAAAATCTAACTGCTTCTGGGAGGAAGGATCTGTGATAACAGTGCTCAGAGCACCAGTGGTTTGGGTGTTCTTATCTCTGCATCCATCCATGTGATAGGATTCTTTCTCTCTCTCTGTACTGGGTCAGGGGGGCATCAACAACAAAAAGTCTTCAACCCACGCCCTAAAAACACCAATAATATCAAATCAGCTTAAAATTATAGAAAATGAGTGAGGCTGACACTTTTGAGGGGAATTTAGATAATATATCCAGACCCATATCTCATGAAGATATGATGATGATATGATATGATGAAATCATTTGAATCAGGTTTGTTAGAGTACAGTTACCACACCTCCTAAACATAAAAGATAATGGGCCATGAGGACCAGGGTTAAGAATTCCTGCTTTCTGTTGGCACAAATGTCACAAACTCATGTTTCATCAGTCTTCATCTTACCTTCTTCTAGGGATGCATGGATATGATAATAATAATGAATTTAATTTATTTAAATTAATTCATTTTAAATTTCAAAGAAATCTCAAATTCCTACAGAGCAGAGTGCTAAAAAAAACCCTGGAACAGTAGAGAAATTAAAAACGGCCTTTTAGATTCAACATTAACCATATCACACAAATAAAATCAGAACACATCTAAAATACTTCTTTAAACAATGTCTTAAGGCCTTTTTAAAAGACATTAAAATTTTCTGATATAAACACTTGAGCCGATATCAGTATTGGATGAACTGCTCTTATGGCCATAACTTAACAATGTTTATGTTATGGAAAAACAACCACAAAATCAAACATGTACAATCCCCTTCTGCATCACATTCAAATAACCCCCCACCACCAAAACAAAAAACAAAAAAGGAAGGAAAAATACAAATAAAATGGTAATGGTAATGTTAATGGTAACATATTGTAGAGTCCTTTTTTTCCTACTCAGATGCGTCTGAAGAAAAACTAAAATCTGGATAAATTCATCAGCTTTAATACAGAGGATGGATGAAATTACAATAAGCTGTTTATGAGTTATTCCTATGGGTGGTTGGGAGAGTTTGTTTTATTGATTACCCAGCTGCCATATTCTGCTCCTTTTCTCCTGTTGAAAGTTGATTTTACTGTCATTTGTCTGACTGCTTCATGCTGTGATTGCTGCAGCTAAATGCTGCATCAGATGTAAATATTTTGTCTGAATGTAAGTAGCTCTTTTGTATTGTTTAAGATGATGTCCCTTATTAAGTTATAGCATATTCACACATGCACCTATAAAAGGTTATGTTAAAACTTGCTTAAATTAAACTTTACTGACCAGAAAAACCCTGTATATTTGTCCTTAATCCTGCACA